GAGCTGTTTCTCTTGATGTGCAAATGGGCAGCGAGTGCAGCTCCTCAGCCGCTGTCTCGACATCTGTCTGTTTACTCTGTATTTCAAGTTCTGAGGCAGAAAGCTTTTATCTGCCCTGGTCTCTTCTTATGTCACTGTTTCCAAAATACAAGTGATAGATATGAATCTAGCAGTTAAAAGGCAGGGCCTGGCAGAGGAGGAGGAGGAAGTAGAAAGCATCAAGAGATTGGTAAAAGCTGTTTGTTCTGGTGCCCTGTTGAACAAGACATTGGCACGAGTGCTCCCTCTGAGATCAGGTGTGTGCTTGTACCTTGCTGCTCTGGGTCCTGCACGGCGAGTTCCTTGGCTGTGTTTTGCAGAGGGTGGGGGGTAGAGGTGGTGGCTTTTCAAGTCTGCCTGAATGCAAATAAATACCTGAGAAGACCTTTAATGCAGTGACAGGTGTCTGCACAGAGGGAACTCGGTCTGACCTGCATGGAATAGTGAAAAGGGAGGAGTGAGCAGAGGAGCCCCGGGCTGGGTGAGTGCTGAGCCCGAGCACAGCACTGTTCCATCCCATGCTGTGCTTTCTTGGCTCCAATAATGGCATTAGCACCAGCCAGCATGCAGTAGGACGGGAGGATTTCTTTCCCTGTGGGTTGCTGAGCTGTTCAGTATCCCACTGGTGTGTGCAGATGCTCCACTGTTGTTTGCAGAGCGACAGGAGTCTTTGTCCAATGCATTGGTGGGGATTAATCACTGCAGAGGTTTGGGAAGTTTTATTCTGTTTTATTCTAGCTCCAGCTGTCCTGGCTAAGAGTCAACTTTATTTAACCTGTTCATATCTGAGAGCAAGGCCCCAGTGTCTTCTCCACATGTAGAGAGCAGGCCTTTCTTTTCCTGAAATCTGCTGACCTGTGAGAGGCTTGCAATGAAGAAAGCATGGCTCTGACTGTAAATAAATCCTTTCAGATTCCAGCTGTACAACCAAAGGAATTCAGCATATTCCTATTTTTCTAATCATGACATGCCTTCATTTTAATGCTGTTCTGACTGGCAAATCTCATCTTACGCTGCTTTGAAAATAACGGGCAAGAAGTTGTAATTCTGGCTTGCAAACAGCTGCCCTTGTGCTCCTTACAGGTGTCAGTGCTGTGGCTTTGGCCCTGTGCTGCATGTGTCCGACTCAGGAGTGGGGAGTTCTCCCCAAACCTGCAGCTCTGGGTTTCTGTGGGGTGTTGGCTCAGCCCTAGGTCTACCTGGATCTATTTGCTCTTGCATTTGCTTCCTTACCTGGAGAAAACCCTGCATCCTGCAGTGCTCACTGACTGTTTGGTATCTGTGTCAATAAGTGAAAAATCTGTCTAACATTCCACCTCACCAAGTGTCTGGCTCTCACTGCTAGCCCGTCGCTCTTTGTAATTTTATAACTGCCTAAGAAATTAAATCTGTGTTGTGATAAGTATTCTGTGTCTTCTTCCTTTTGTTTGCTACTTGGAGATGGGGCCGGATAAGATCAGGATAAGGCTACGTGGCCCAAACCGTTCTGTGCCCTCGGTCTCGCAGTGCTTCGTGGCTGCTCTCCACAGACACTGTCTGTGGAGACTGGGACTGGGAAAGGACAAGCAGAGTTTTTCCTGGCACATTTTGCTTGCAAATGTAATTTTCCCTCTTGTTCTTTCTTAAAGCTGCTCTTCCCAGGACTTGCATTTGTGTATTTTTCTCATGCTGCTCAGGTGAGTTTGATAAGTGCCTTTATTCCTTTTTTTTCCATGGGATGCATCTCAAGCAGTACTTTCATACCCAGCCCACTCCCTGTGCTGTCGCTCCAGGCTTGTTTCTTCTCACATTCCAGCCCCGGAGGAAGATGTGGAGTGAGCCCCTGCAGATGGGAGAGGAGGCAGCTCCTGCTGCTGAGTCCTTCCTCCTGCAAAGCAACGATGAGAGCTTTGATCAGGGTGGACAAGAGGAGCAAAAGCCTTTCTGCTCTTGTTGGCAGCGTTGGAGCACGCAGGATGAGATGAGTGTGAGACTATCCCTGTTCTCCTGCGTGGCTGTTTCATGGTGAGGCCTCGGCTGAGGAGCTGCAGGTGCCACCTCCCCTGCTCCAGCTCTGGAGGGCAATGCTGCCCTGTCCTGCTGCTTTGTGCCTCCCTTTGCTCCAGGCAAAATCGGCTGTGCTAGCTCAGATGGGTGTCTCTAAACTGTTCACTCGGCTGCTGGGGATGTTTCCCTGTCTCCTGCCTGGAGCAAACTGAAGATCTGAGGTGGATTCAGGCAGTGGCAGTGACTTCCATCTGCTTCTCCTCTGTCCCCTGTGTCCCAGGTGGATCGAGTCATCCAGACCCACTGATGCTTTGGGAGGTCCAACAGCCCCTCTGCTTCTGCCCTAAAGCAGAATATTCTCCATTGTGCATGGGGAAAATTGTAAACAGTGGGTCATACCCAGCCCTGAAATAGGCAGCTGTGATTACCTTCAGGACAGCAGTTTCACATCTGTCTGCTGGTACTGAGTTTGGCCCACTGAGCATGAGTTTCCAGGGAAGAGACTGAGCAATCCCATGTCCAATTATTTATCTTATTACAAGGGTGAAGATGGACTCGTGCCTCTGTTCCCCCTTGCTTTCTCTTGGTGCTGAGCAGGCTTTTGGGTTTAGGTGTGATGGTCTGCCCAGTGGTCTGCCCTGACACCCTTCACTATGCAGGGCCTGAGTCCAAGATGAAACAACAGAGCAAAAGCACAATCCTGGTGTGAACAGCCCCACTTGGGCTGTGGCTGAGCTGAACACACTGCTGGGAGCAGAGGAAGGAGTGAGACATGAGCAGGGCAGCTCACGCTGCCCCTGGCCTGGCTGGTTTGCAAGGTGGATGCAGAATCACTCATTTTAGAGCCCGTGGGCAGAAAGGAGGAGCTGGAGCCAGAGATGACGACCAGCACCACTCTGATCCTGCCCAGGCTAGGGAGCAGCTCGTCCCTCTCTGCAGCACCCACACTCAGCGGGTCCATGAGCATTCACCTCTCCCATGCCATATCCAACCCACACCAGTCTCAGACAGGCCCTTGGCAGAGGCTTTTCTGGCTAATTAATGCACTATGAGCTAACTGAGGGCACTGTGCCCAGCTTGTTGGAGCTGAGGACAGCTGATGCTGGCTCCTCCAGCACTGGGTTATGTTGTGGGTTGGGGATTTTAGCAGAGAGCTCTACTAAGTTACAGGTTATAATAAAGGATTTGGAGATTGTTGTATCTGGGGTAAGTCCATAAAGTAAGCTGGAGGGTTTTGGGAATATTTTGATATTTTGGATGGTGTTTTGCAGGGGCAAGGGAGAGACTCATTTCTCCACGAGCATAGTCCGGAGCTGGGGAGCACCAAGTGATGCAGGGGCATGGATGCACCTGGTCCGTGTGATCAGAACCTCCTTGGCAACACGGTGGGTACAGAGTCACCTTTGGGTGCCAGCCTGGTGTGTAACTTCTCAGCATCCCCCTTGTCACTGCTGTCCCCACTCCCTGCTTGAGGGAGGCTGGTGACACCATCAAGCGACTGCTCCTCAGTAGCTACAGATTGGGGCTGATAATTTATTTTATCTGTGGAGGGCAGGCAGAGGGCTGGGCCAGAAGCCTGGGCCTGTGGCTGGTGAAGGGAAGGCTTCTGGGGCCAGCAGTGGGGACAGTGCTCTGCTGTTGTGCAGCTGCTGGATGGAGGGGCAGTGGCCTGGGGCCACAGAATGTCCCTGTCCCTTCCTTGGGACCTGCCAGCCTTCTGTCCCCAGAGCATCCATGTTCTTTCTTCCCTTCTCAGGTGCCATCCCAACCTTCTTTTCCTGAAACTTCCAGGTCCTTTCCTTCCTCTCTGGGGTGCGGCCCTGCTCCTTCCCTGGGAGCATCCCAGCCCACATGTTCCCTAGCAGCATCCCTGTCTTTTTCCTCTCATAACCTCCCTACTTTTTCTGGCAGTATCCCAGCCTTTTCCCCTTGGTGCATCCACACTGCTTCCCTTGTTTACTCCCATAACATCCCTCATCCACTTCTTCAGCAGCTCTGCAGCACCTTCTGTGCGTGCTGAGGGCATCTGCCTTGCACTTGTGCTCCTTGACCCAGAGCCAAATGTGAGATGGGGGGAAAAACACTGATCTGTGTTTGCCTTCACCTGAGCCAAAAGTGCTGGGGGAGGCAGAGGGTGCCTGGCTGCTGTGTGTGCCACCAGCTCCTGCCTGGAGCTTGATCCGTGCTGGGATGAGGGGACTGTGGTGGGGCTGGAGCAGAGGGGGTCTGGCTCTGTGCCGCTGCTCTGCTGTGTTTTCCTGAGCAAATAATGCTGCAGCTTTTGGAATTGGGCCCAAAATTTGAGTTCTGGCAGGGGAGGGCAAAGCTCAGGGCTTCACCTGGCCCCACAGCTTCTGCTGTTGGCTGAAGCCTGGAGCAAGGCTGGTGTGAAGGGAAATACAGACCCTCTGTGTCCCCTCCCTCTGCAGCACTGGGGCACGGGGCTCTCTGCTCTCTGTGGGCACCAAGCACTGTGAAATCCTGCAGAGCATCTCTCCTCTCCTTACCCAAAAACAGTTTTGGAAATGAAAGCCGGGAGACAGAGCCAGGGACGTTATCTCACCCCTTTTTACCGTTTCAGATAGGAAACAGCCTTTCATCTCTCCCAGGGTGAAAGGCAATTTGCATTTCAAGAGGTCAGGACCGAAGCTTTTTCTCTTTACCATCCAAAATTCGTTATTCAAAGTCTATTTGGAAACAAAACAACACATGCACGGGAAGATGGCCTCTGCAGGCTCAAATTAACTGTTCCTGTCATCCCTGATTTCCCTGGCTGCTGCTGGAGGATGCGAGATCGAGGAGGAGGAGGCACTGCTGGAGATGTGAGTGGAGCAAACCTGTGATCTCCAGGGCTCGGGGGTCTCCCCTGGGAATTGGGGGGGCTTTTCACCCCCCTGCCGGGTCAGTTCCCTGAGGATTGCTCCAAACCCACCTCAGCCTGGCTCCAGCAACCCAATCCTGCCCCATCCAAAGCCGCTGGCAGCCTGGAGCTTCGCTGGGCACTGGTGCTTTGTTTTCTCAGCTGCTGCCTCTGCCCTCACTGCTGCCACTTACTGATAGCAGAGTTTGCATTAGCAGGTGCAACTCTGGGATATTCAATTACCTATAAAGAGCTGTAGCAACGCCAAGGCATTGCTGGAGGCATCAAGGCCGGTGGTTTCAGGGTTTTTTTCCTTGGTTTCGGGTGCTTTGTTTTGGTTTTTACCTTGCATTTAAAGGAGATGTGAGGATGGGTAAAGTGGCACGGACTGAATAAAAACCATAAGTAAAAAGTGGAGTAAAGAGAGGGAGAAATAAATAAATAATCCTGTTTATTAAATGAAACAGCTGGGTAGGAAAAAAAATGATCTCCGGGAAGAAAGCAGCTCCCTGGGCTATTTTTAGCTCTTTTGTTTCTCCCCCCCTTTCCACCCCCACCCTCCTTGCACAGTCTGAGGGTTTGGTGCGTGTCAATCCTGCTGTTCTCCCTCACCTCCTGAGTGCCAGGTGATGTGCTCTTTTCTTATTTTCTTTCTTGGTTTTTTTTGTTGTTTTTTTTTTCTTTTTCTGCATCTTATTTCTAGCACGGAGCTGGGGGGAAGGGCAGCGGCATCAGGAGAGGCCGTGCAGGCATCGCCCCCGGTCCTGGCAGGGGAAAGGAGGGGGCAGCAGGGCCTGAGCCTCTCCTGCAGCATCGGGGGCTGGACATGGACCCTCCCTCTGCTCCTCAGCATCTTCAGGAGCTGCTGCAGCCCCCCCGAAATTCCCTTTGCCTGGATCCTGGGGGGCTCCCAGCAGCTCCAGGGCAGCGACCACGTTTGGTGTCTCCTCTCAGCTCTTGCACCAGTGGTGCTGGAGGAGGATTTCCACCAATTCTTTCCCTCTCTAGGCACCATCATTCCTAAACCCATCCCAGTGAAGCTCTCTGCTACCCCCAGGCACTCAGCCCTGCAACCTTCCCCTTTCCCATCCCTCCCACCTCCCACACCTCCCACCACATCTCCTGGATGCTGCTGCTGCCCCAAGGCCCCTCTGCCTCATCTCCTCTGCCACCAGCTCCCCCTCATCGAGAATCCTCGTGGGCTCCCATCTTTGTGCCGTTATGGAAGAAATACATAATTCTTTTATTATTCAATTAGGAGTTTAACACACAATCAGGTGATCGCTTTAAGAGGATTTCCTATAAGGCAAGATTTGAATAACGGGGCTATGAGTAATATATTCCCTTAACTGGTTTATTCCTTTATCAGATTTTTTTTTCCCCCTAAGCACTTTAATGCATTTACTTTCCCATTGTCGACACTTTTCTCTGGCTCTTCCTCCCTCCCCGAGCTTATGCAAATCCCCGTAAGGCGTTTAATGCTCCGTGTGTGTCAATAGTGCCCAAATCTTCACCACAGCATTAGGCTTCATGCATGCCCCGCCTGATTAAGAGGGGTGGTGGGGCCAGCCTGGCTGCCCAAACCTCCTTCCAACCCCCACCGTGGGGCCTCTGTGCTGGGAGCTGCATTTTTCCAGAGAAAAGGCTGGAGCTGAAAGTGGCTTTTCTTTGCAGGGTGAATGGGGAGCGCCAGGCTGACCTGTCCACTGCTGTTTGCTGCCCTGTCGCTCAGATTTCGGCTGTGTGGAGGTGATGGCTGTGGGTGGGATGTGAGCAGAGAAGGAAAAGGAAGGAGGTAAAACAACCCCTGAGCCAGCATCACTGCTGGTTTGTGCACACACAGTCGAGCCCGTGTGGCAGAGGGTGCTCAGGGTTCCTGCTGGGAATGGCTTGGGCATCACTTGGGCAGGAAAAACTGTGTTTTTCCCATTTTTTGTGCCACCAAGGGCTGAGGTGATGTCACCCTCACCACGCTGCTCAGCCTCCCTTGTGCTGTGGGTTTGCTTCCCCTGAGGCAGCCCCTGGGATTTGTTTTGGGGGGTTAAACAGCTTTTACAGACACGGGGTGGGATGTACCCTGGTGGATGTTCACTCTGACACCTACAGACAGTGCTGGGACACTGGGGAAAGGGGAGCCTGAGGAGGAGGGCAGCAGGGATGGAAGGAGTACCAAAAAGGGTTGGCCTGTAATTCCTGGTTTTCCCCAAAGCCTGAGGGTTTTGTGGCTGCTGGTGAAGCACAGCACTGGGGAAAACACCCCCTCCAATGGTAACTGCCACCATTTTCTCCTTCCAGAGAAAAATCTCTTTCTCAACCTGTGTCTGTAAATAGCCTGGAGAGTGGGAGCGGGCTGGACCGGCCCTGCCCGGCCTTGTTTCCTCTGCGCCCAGCACTGATTGTCCCTTTTTTTTTATCCCGTCCTGCCACTCTGCCTGTGCGTGCAGCAATTATGCAAAGTTGCAATCAAGGATCTGAATTAGGAGCTCATCTTGGATTAATTAGTGATGGATGCAAATCTGTTCCAACAAAGAGGAGCGAGGGGAGTGCAAAGGCCATGGGTATCCTCCCAGGGTTTCTCCAGCTCCCCCAGGCTCGTTTGAGGGCAGGAGGGATGCAGAGTAATGCCTTGTAGGAGAATTTGGGCATCCACGTGAAAGAATTTTGTTCTTGGCCTTGGGACAAGGCTTGGGTGCCCCAAAGCTGATGCTCAGCTCAGCCCCTGCATCTCCCTGGAGGTTTTAAACCCAGAGCTTTGGGCTTAGAGCATCTCCTCCCACCCCAGCCTTGCTGCAAAGCTTGGGGAAAAGCCACTTAATCCCTGCGGCCTCCAGTGCTGAGCTGCTGCCAGCGCTGGGGATTTCTGTTCGCTGCAATCGGATTGTGACAAACCCCTCCACTTGCACTGAACAAATTCCCTGGCTACTCCCCGCTCCTCGCAGGCCCCAGTAATCCCCCGAGTGTGACTCTGGCCAAGAGGCAACATCCCTGATTAATCCCCCGCCGTCTCCCTGCAAAGCCACTGCTGCCGTCTCCCTGCAAAGCCGCTGCTGCCGAGGATGCTCCTGGCTGGGCCAGCGCTGGGAGCAGCCCCCGGGGGTGGATGCAAAGGATGCAATGCTATTTAAAGGAGCTTTTCCAAGAGGGGATTGCAGGCTTGAGAACAGCCTCTTCTTCCCGTGAAGTGGAAAAGATGCACGTGCAGCGCACTGAGCCGGGGGGTGTGGGAAGGGGGTGCAGATGTTTCATCCCTTTGCCTGCCCCCCTCAGTGTCACCCAGCCCAGCTGGTGCAGAGGGGACACCCATGGGGCACAGAATAACCAGGGCAGCCTGGCAGAGTGAGCACGGCTTGCTTAAGGAGCTCCTTAGCCAAGGGACGGCTCGTGGCTGTGCCCATAGGGATGGGGACACTCGGGACAGCCCATTCCCATGGTCCCCAAGAATTTAAGGCCTTGGCTTGAGGTTTTTGGTGTGCAGACAGCTGAAAGGTCTCTCCTTCCTCTCACCTCTGCAACAGCAATGATTAATAAAACCTGACTCGGCTGGAAGGGCAAGGAAAAAACAACAATACAGGACATTTCTGGAGATCGTCCTAATCCAGCACCTTGGAGCCAAATGAATCAGCAGCTTCTTATTCTGCCAGCAGGATTAGTCAATGTTCATCCAGGCTCCTGGGAAGTGAGGTGAGGCTCTGCATAGCAAGGAGCAAGGTGGCCACAGGGTGTTGGTTGGTTCATGGAGCCAAACAAATCCCTCCTTGTAATCCTGCAAACACTGCTGGGGTGCACCCACTCATGCTGGGAGCCATGGGACAGCAGGGAGAGGCAGGAGAAAGGGATAATGAGAAAATATCTCTAAAAATCTGCAGTGTGGATGAAGGATGAGGCTGTTGGATGTGGGGTGTGGGGGAAAAACTGGAGGCTGGGGCTGTGTGTAAGGGATGTCCCTATGCCACAGGGACCAGGATGCCTGGGACCAGGAGCACCATGCCTGGCTGGTTTTCCTGGCTGTTAAAGTGGGTCAAGCAGAAACCCAAGGAGCATCTGAGCTCGCCAACCTTGAGCCAACTGTGTGGAAGCTGAATTATTCAGGGCCAGCTTAAAAAATTGAAGAGACCAGCAAAACTCCAGGAGAGTGCAGCCCATGGGACCTCCATATCCTTGTCAGGCAGAGGCAGCTCAGCCCATGCTCAGGGGCCACCTTGGCATTTTGGGAGGGTGGACAGTGTTGTTTGTGTCTTGGGGATGGGCAAAGCAGAGGGAAAGCACCCAGAGAAGTTCACCCTGATGGATTCATCTCCCTGTGTTCCCAAGCTGTAGCAGCTTCCTTGGGTATCCCAGCATGGCTCTGTCACACCTATAGCAGGAGCAGTTGAAAGAGAACCCCCTTGTCCCCTGAAATGAGGATGTCTTGGTGGTGTGGTTTTAGAGAGGAGGTTAAACCTGATCTTTGCCACCAGGTGTTTGGTTGTGGCTTGGAGAACCCCACGTCCACTTGGGAGCTGAGGTTGTCTCTAAAGGACCAGCCCTGCTTCTGCTCCTGGGGCTTTGGAAAGGGGAGAAGAGCTCCTGGGGGGAATCCCTGTGGTGAGTAATGCTGCCTGGCGAGCGCCGGGAAAAGGCGGGTGCACATATGCTGCAGCTCATCCTGCTCTTTTCCTGGAGAACTCTCCCTGTCTGGGTGCCAACCAGCGGCAGACACGGCCAGGGAACCCCCACCACACTCACCCCCTGCTTTGTTTTCACATTTCCAAGGTTTCTGGAAGAGGGTGATGGAGTCTGGTGTAGAGCAAGGGGATGTAACTCAAGGGGAGTGAGGTGCTTTGAGATTTTATAATGATACTATGAAATTAGAGCTGAACAAATGTGCCAAAGCAAACAACCCAAAGAGCAAACAGCCCAAAGAGCAAACAGCCCCAAAAATCCCCTTTGCACCAGAGGGCCGAGCTGTGCAGGTGCTCAGCTCAGAGGGGAGCAGGGAAGGCTGAGCCCCAGCTCCAGGCTGTGCTTGGCACAGCAGTCAGATGCACTTTGAGCCAAACTCTGGCTATTTCAGACCAGGAGACAAGATGGAAATTTCCACCTGGCCTGTTTTCTTGCCTGTGCTGAATTTGCAGGAGCCCCGTTCCCAGCCCCGCTCCCTCGGAAGGGCTGAGGCGGTGCTGGCGCTGGTGTCTCTCATTTCCTCTGGCGGCAGCAGCGCATCCCCGGCCGCACACGCTGATTTACACATCGCAGCATTTATTGACTGCCAGGCGATTGTAATTCACGGCTCGGCGCGGTGCAGCCACGGCCTGGAGCAGGGATGGTTCCTCTCCTCATTCCTGCTGCCTCCATCCTCACACACCCCGGGGGCAGAGCCCAAGGATGGCCCCCAGGGATCTCACCCAGCTCTCTGGGAGGGGGCACCTGCCGAGTCCCTGCTCTGTGCCTTGCTGCTCCTGGAGAAAAGCATCAGATCCCCACGATGGAACCTGCAGCCTGGGCCGGCTCACCCAGCCCAGGTGGGGTGGGGACACCCACCAGGTCCTTGCCTGGGTCACCCACCTTGGGGACGTGTGTCTTCTCCCTGGGCAGACATCCACACTGCCCCATGTTGCTGGTTCCCTTCCTCCTCTGCTTCCATTCCCTGGTTTTGGAGGGGAGCAGAGACCCTCTTGGCTGTTTCCTCAAAAAGCTGGGGGATTGTTGTGTTCTGTTAACCAGAGCTGCAATCCATCCATCCATCCATCCATCCATCCATCCATCCATCCATCCATCCATCCATCCATCCATCCATCCATCCATCCATCCATCCATCCATCCATCCATCCATCCATCCATCCATCCATCCATCCATCCATCCATCCATCCATCCCCCCACCCACCCACCTGTCCTGCCACCCACCCATCCACCCGTCCTGCCATCTGTCCATCCATCCATCCTTATTCCATCACAAAACCCTTCACAGGGCAGGCATGGCCCTCTCCCTGAAAAGCTCATGCCCTAAATTAAATTACCGGGGCTTTCTTCCTAATTAATCTCTCTTCACAATTAGCTCCGGACCTCCCAAATCCCTCCAAGGCGCCTCTAGCCGGTACCTCTAGGCGGTGCCTATGGACAGGGGTACGGGCGTGCATCGGGAAAGCCTCTCCGGGGCTGGTGGGGGGCTCGGGGGAGGAGCGGGGGGCGGGCGGGAGGCAGAGCCGGGGGAGGCAGAGCAGAGCCGGGGGGAGGCAGAGCAGAGCCGGGGGGAGGCAGAGCCGGGGGGAGGCAGAGCAGAGCCGGGGGGAGGCACAGCAGAGCCGGGGGAGGCAGACCACAGCCGGGGCCGCCCCCGCTCCGCGCCGCCGCCGCCGCACTCGGTGCCGGTCCCCTCCCGGCGGACGCTCCGGTATGGCGGGGCCGGGGCCCGGCGGCCGCCGGGGCTGAACGGGGCGGGCCAGCGCCGGTGCCGCAGAGCCGCCGCGGCGGAGAGAGGTAAGAACGGCCGCGACCTGTTGTGCTCGGCCAGGACCGCGGGGGAACGGAGGGGAAGCCGCCGCTCCGAGCCCCTGCCCGCCCTGGCCCCGCTGAGCATCCTCCCGGCTCCCCCGAGCATCCTCCGGGCGCGGCCGGGAGCTTTTCTTTCACACAGCGGACGTGGGTTACTGAATTCCTCCCGTTTATGGCAACTTCGCCGCTGGCAAGATGTCGGGGGACGCTTTTGCCAGAGCAAAAATGGCTTTTGTGCCCTAACAGGAGGGCTGCGGTGCCCGGGGGTCCCGCAGAGCCGGGGGGCAGCAGCTGAGACCTCCCACCCCTGCCCGCGATGGAGAAACGCCCCCACACTGAGGCCACAGGGGCGGCAGGGTGTAAATCCGTAGGGGCAGACGGATGTAAATCCAGCGGGAGGAGAAAATCCAGTTGACGGCAGCGCGGGGATGCTCGGGGGAGCGAGGCGGAGAGTGCCGGAGGCTGGTCCAGCGCCGCGCATCCCGCATCCCGCATCCCGCATCCCGCTCTGCTCCCGGCCCCGGGAAGTTTGGGCCACACACAGTACGTACGGGGCTTTTCCAGCTGGGATGTTCTCCATCTGGGATCCCTGCTGTGGAAAAGCCCTGCCACAGGCTTTCCGGCAGCCCGGGAGGTGCTTCCCGCTGGGTTTTAGGCTCAGGAGGGTGTGGGTGAAGGGGATTGCAGGCAGCTCCCCTGGGTGCTGTGGTGTCCCCAAAACAGCGTGTCCTGCCGGGCTGTTCTGCTCGCGGCGCTCTGGGATGGGGTGTTGGGGTGAACTCCAGCATGGTGCGGGAGGGGGACCCCCATCCCAGCCCCGCAGCAGTGCTGGGACCTCAGCACAGCCCAGGGACCGGGGCAGTGCTGCCCTGTGCACCTGCCCCTGCAGGAGAGAAGCATTTTGGGCTCCGGGAACTCACTGACAGGGTCTGTGGGCACCACGTTTGCCCCACACCTCAGAGCCCTCCAGCATCCAACATGTCCTGGCAGCTGGAAAACCTCTCTGCTCCTGCAAACGCCATGTCTGGCAGGGAGACCAAAGAAATCACTGTCATTGATTTTTTTCTCCCTTGCCTGACTCAACCTACTGCCTTGGAGGAGATTATTTTCACCACCACTTCACCACCCGCCCTGGATGTCAGGGAGATCTGCAAGAGGCCGGGCTGGGAACAGACAAGGAATTCAGAGCAGCCCCCTGGGGTTGAACCACAGGGATGAACCCTGTTTTGGATGGCTCTGGTGGGTCACTGGAGGATGTCGGGTATTTGGAGAGCTCATTTTGGGATGCACTCAGTGCAGCCCCTCAGGTGTGATGCTGGGGTCTCTCTGGCAGGTCTATACTGGCTCTGACCCCCAGAGAAGCAGATCTGAAAAAAGCAGGGTCAAATCCCATCCCCTCTCTAAAAGCTGCAGGAGTGTGTCTGCCCAGCTCTGCCCCAGTGCCAGGCACCAGAGGTGTTCAGAAGGGCAGAAAGCAGAGCAAATGTGCTGCCTGCAGGGAGCGAGGGCTTCCCGAGGCAGCCGGGATCTTCCCTGAGTGATTTCATCCATTAATTTCTCTAATTGCTTTTGGAAATCACAGTGGCGTTTGTCTTTGGCAGCATTGCAGTGAGGTGCTGAGCCAGGCTGTGCCTCGGGGGTGGCTCCTGTGGGTGCCCCACGAGCACTGCTCACCACCCCAAAGCCAAACTTCTGCTCAGAAGGTCGGTGGATCCCATTCGCCTCAGGGAAATCATCTTTCCAGGTGGAAAAAACATCAGAAACGCTGTGATACAGCCGGGTGGAGAAGGCTCAGAGCCACCCACGTGTGCCATTGTGTCTTGCAGACCCCTGGCATCACCCGGGGGTGACCTGTGCTCCCCGGGGGTGTCACTGTCACTGCTGTCCCTCCCCCTCAGGGTGGCGGGATGGGCTCGGTGGGAGCCGAGCGCTTCAAGGAGCTGAGCCCGGCGGTGACACCCGAGGGGAACGTGGTGATGAGCTTCAGCTTCGACAGCTACCAGCTGGAGGAGGACGAGCTGCAGCGGGGCAGCCAGGCCAAGGCTGTCCTCACCTTCATGGAGCCAGGTGAGGGTGGACACAGCCCAAGCTGCCCCACAGCCAGCAGCCAGGTTCCCTGCTGCTTTCCCCCCACTTAGGAGCTTCCTGGGATGGGTTTAATAGCCACAAATAGCCTGAAATGTCACAATATAGCCCACTACCCTTTTTCATCCCTTTTTGTGCCCATGTGAGCCACCAGCACGTCCTATGACAGCTCTGCAGGCTGGCGTTGAGGATTGGTGCCCTGGTTCTCCTGCCAGGCTCACCCCCAGCCTGCAGCTTCATCTTTCTCCATGCAGGACTCAGGGGCACTCCTGGGATTCACCCCAGCCCTGCTCCACATCCTGAGGCAGCCCTGTCCACCTCCACACCCACCTTTGACCCTTCCTGCACCTTGACTTGTGCTGTCGCCTGCACTGCCTGGCTCTCAGCTTGTTTAGCTGCAATTAAAATTCACCAGACCCCCAAAGCCCAGATGTTTTCCTGCCTGCTGGGTCTCCATGTCTTTATTTAGGGAAGGAACTTCTCAGAGCTGGGGCTGCTTATTTGTACATCTACAGGGAGCTGGGCTGTTTCATTGCCTCAAGGCTGGGGTCTGACGTGGGTCCCGGGGTACAGCAGTGCCACTGTCATGTCTGTTTCTCTTTCTTTCATCTTCTGGGGCAGTTTCTGAGGACCCTGAGCCTCAGGATCGATACCATGGGATTTATTTTGCCATGCTGCTGGCTGGGGTGGGATTTCTCCTGCCCTACAACAGCTTTATCACCGATGTGGATTACCTGCACCATAAATACCCAGGTAGGTCTGGAGCAGCTCCAGCACATCCCTGGCACCCCAAACCTGGAGAGAGCTCAATCCCACTTCCAAGGGAGCTGAACTCTTGTCCCCCCATCACCTTCAGGGACCTCTATTGTCTTTGACATGAGCCTCACCTACATCCTGGTGGCCTTGGTGGCCGTCATCCTCAACAACGCGCTGGTGGAGCTGCTGAGCTTGCACACCCGGATCTCCGTGGGTGAGTGGGGTCCCTGTACCCCCAGGCAGTGCTGTTCCCATGCTGTGTGCCCATGCCACCACCTCTGTCTCCTCCCCACAGGCTACCTCTTTGCCCTGGGGCCCCTGCTCTTCGTCAGCATCTGTGACGTGTGGCTGGAGCTGTTCAGCCGCAGACAAGCCTACGCCATCAACCTGGTGGCTGTGGGGGTGGTGGCCTTTGGCTGCACAGGTATGTGGCAGAGCAGCTGGGCTGGGACATGGCAGGTAGGGGTGGGAAACAGCCCCATCCCTGTCCCATCCTGGGACAATCTCCTGCTCTGATCCCTACAACCCTCAGGTCCCTGCCCCATCCCACCCACCTCTGTCCAGGCATTGTGGGACTGGCCAGGGGCATCAGCATCAAACTGTGTACTGGTCTGGGCCACCATGGTGGCATGCCAAGCCCCCACACCTGGTGGCCACTCTGGGTGGGAACAGGCACACAGTGGAGCATCCATGGAGGGGGAAAATGGTCCTCCTGCTTTTGGAGCAAGGAGGCTGCTGGAAAGAGCATCTCCCAACTGCCACAGCACATGGGTTCATGGGTTCCCTCTGGGATTTCTTCCCCCTTCCTGGAGTTTCAGCTGTGGCAATAATCCATCCTTCTCCCCTCTGTGCATCTCTCCTGAAGTGCAGCAATCCAGCTTCTATGGCTACACGGGGCTGCTGCCCAAGCGCTACACGCAGGGAGTGATGACGGGCGAGAGTAAGTACCCACAGCCACTGAGCATGTCCACAGCCCCCCACGAGGGCTTGCACCTTCTCCTGGGGCCCCAGTGAGCCCCACTCGGGTCCCCACTGGCCTCACCACAGCCCAGCTGGGTTGCCAGCAGATCAGGGATACCCCAGGGTGCTCCCCAGCAAACCAGGGAGTTTACTGGTTTCTAAGTCCCTGCACTGCCATGCCAGGCTGAGGTGGGATGTCTGCCAGGAGCTTTATCACCCCAAAATCACTGCTGGTGACTCCTCTACACTGGGAAGGATCACATGCACCTGGTGGGGGATGATGAGGATCCCTGAGCTGGGATTCAGTGGGGCCCAACACCAACAGCTCTCCCACACCACCAGGCACCGCCGGGGTCATCATCTCGCTCAGCCGCATCTTCACCAAGCTGCTGCTGTCGGACGAGAAGGAGAACACCGTCATCTTCTTCTTCATCTCCATCGGCATGGAGCTGACGTGCTTCATCCTCCACCTCCTGGTGAAGCGCACCCGCTTCGTGCGCTACTACACCGACTGCTCCCGCAGGGGCCTCCCGGAGAGCCGCGGGGCCGGCGAGCCCGGCACCGGCTACCGCGTCCACCACGACGTCACCTCTGAGGACGTGCGATTCGTAAGCCGAGGGTGGGTTTCCCTGCCGCCCTCTGGGGTTCTTGGCCACTTCACCTCAGCACTGCTGTCCCCTCTCTCCCCTCATCCAGGAAAACCGGGAGCAGGGGCAGCCGAGCTCCCCCCGGGGCAGCCCCGGCCCCGAAGCTGAGCTGGCTGGGAGTGGCACCTACATGCGCTTCGACGTCCCTCGGCCCAAGGTCAAGAGAAGCTGGCCCAGCTTCCGAGGTGAGTGGTGGGCTCCGGGGAAAGCCATTCCTGTGGGGTGGGATAAATGATTGGTGACCCAGCGTTACGGGGGAGGATCATCCCCAAGGCTGGAGAGGGACTTTTGAAAAGGGCATGGAATAGCAGGACAAAGGAAAATGGATTCAAACTGAAAAGAAGACAGGATTAGATGGGATATTGTCAAGAAATTCTTCCCTGTGAGAGTGGGGAGGCCCTGGCACATGCTGCCCAGAGAAGCTGTGGTTGCCCCATTCCTGAAAGTGTCCAAAATTGGGCGGGGCTTGCAGCAACCTGGGATAGTGTAAGGTGTCAGCTGGGGGTTGGAACTGGATGGTCCTTAACAGTCTCTTCCCAAATCCCAAACCATTCTATGATCCCTTTCCTAATGATGTGCCCATAACCGTGGGGCAAACTCACCTTTGGAAGGCAGCCCTGGGGGTCAGACAAAGCGCTCAGGCTCTGCAAGGGCGCTGGGCTCAGTTCTGGCTGAGCCGTGCTGCCCTGACAGACATGCTGCTCTACCGCTACGTCGTGTCCCGCCTCATCTGGGCCTACATGCTCTCCATCGCCATGACCTACTTCATCACGCTGTGCCTCTTCCCTGGGCTGGAGTCGGAGATCCACAACTGCACGCTGGGGGAATGGCTCCCCATCCTCATCATGGCCATCTTCAACCTCTCGGACTTTGTTGGCAAGGTAGGAGAGGGGCCAGAGCACGGTGGGGGTCTGTCCTCCTTTGGTGCCCTCCATCTAAGCCACTTGGCTCCACCAAGGGTCATCTCCACCCACGGGGGTCTAACCAGTGTGAGGTTGGTGCTCACCAGCATGGCCAAGGTTGGGTTCCCACCGCAGTTGTCTTTCCCTCATCTCTTTGTTGCCCCATTTTGGGCACAGCAGGACCCTCCCCAGCCTCCCCATCCCCCCAGTAGAGTCTCTGCCCCTCGCTGCAGATCCTGGCTGCTCTGCCTTATGACTGGAGAGGGACTCACCTCCTCGTCTACTCCTGCCTCCGTGTGGTCTTCATCCCCCTCTTCATCATGTGTGTCTACCCCAATGGGCAGCCCACCTTCGGCCACCCCGCCTGGCCCTGCATCTTCTCCCTCCTCATGGGCATCACCAACGGCTACTTCGGCAGCGTGCCCATGATCCTGGCCGCAGGCAAAGTGAGCCCGGAGCAGCGGGAGCTGGCAGGTAGGACTGAGCCCTCCCAGGAATCCCCCTTGGTGTGGCCACAGCACCCTGACACCCCCGTCCCACCCCACAGGGAACACCATGACCGTGTCCTACATGACGGGCTTGACGCTGGGCTCGGCCGTGGCGTATTTTGCCTACAGCCTCACCAGTACCTCCCACAGCAGCTGCTTCTACACCGAGACCTCCAACGGCTCCTTCACCTCGGGGTACTGAGCCCTGGGGTGGGCAATGGGGACAGGATGGCACCTGCTTCCCACCATGGTCCCCAGCGCCCCACGTTCCTCCTCAAGGAGGGAGCCTGGAGCCCAAAAGCCACCCCAGCACGGACAGGGACCGGTATCCTGTTGGCACAGGGCTGTGGCATTCCCAAACGGCCTGTGCTGCCCAGCCAGGCACTGCGCAGGGCCACTGCTTGGGGTGACACTCCTCCCACCCCAGGGGACAGTTCTTGTTGCTTTTGGGGGTTTCCCCATCAGCAATCTCCAGTGAAGGCTGGGGATCTTCTGTTTGCACCAAGCCATTGACAGGAGGAAGAAAATACTGCCAAATCCCAAAGGGAATAGGACCAGCACTAGGGAGGAGGGTGATGGAGGGCTGGTGAGGAAGAAGAGGAGCAAGAGAGGAAAGAAACACTCCTTCAGTCCCCCGTGGCTCTGGGAAGGTGGGTCTTGACTTCCATTGATGGTGCTGCAGGTTTCCAACAGGAATGGCTTGAAACCACAGTCCCTCCCTAAATATGTGAATCATATGGTTGGGGAAAAGTTTTATTTTAAATTGTATCTGGTTTTAACTCCCGTTAACTGCAACAGAGGCAGGGTCTTGCCTCCCCCCACCCCACACTGTGAATCTGCTCCTTTGCAAGGGGAAGAGGGGGGGTCCCAAGGCTACAGCACTGCCAGTGCCACCTGCAGGCCACTGCTGAGCTTCAAGATTTATTGCACAGGATGTAAGTGAAGCTGATTAAATAATTAAATGTCTTTGCAACAATGGCTGGTCCTTAGCTGTGCCACTGGCACTTGACTGCTGGTGATGGGCTGGGCTGGCAAACACACACAGGGTGGTGCCTGCTGCCTGTCCTGTTGGGTTTTGGGGTGCCCCTTGTCACCTGGGGTGGTTGAACACATCGCTGGGTTACACCAAACCCCTGCCAGCCTGCAAACTGCCGTGGGCAGCACACAGGAGAGGGAACAGGCTAAGAGGAGCAGAAAACATCAGGAGAAAGTGCCAACACCACGTTTTGGGACCAGCTGTACCTCACTGTGCCAACTGGTGGGTGCCATCTCCCAGGGAATCAAGCCCAAGGAGCCAGCGAGTGCCAGGCCTGGTCCCAACCCTGCCCCCGCAGCACAGGCGGGTCTGGCCATGCCAAGCTCCTGCCTGTAGAAAGTGCAGCTCACACCAAAAAGAGCAAATCCAGCATTTCATCCTCAGCACATGGTGCCCCGAGCATGGTGGCAGGGGGAGGACTCACACCTCCAGCCCACAGGGCCTGTCCAGCAGACACCTCTACTCCAGTGTCCAGTCCTGTCCATCGGTGCCACCACATCACACACATGGGTTGTCCCCAAAAAGCCACCAGGCACCTGGGTTGTGTCTTTCTCCAGGGCAGGGGCTGAGCCAAAAAGCCATCATTGCCACCAAGGGGAGAAAAACCCTGTGGTCAGGACAAGCGAGACAAAGAAAGATGCTTCGTTGGGTTGCTTTTTTTCAATTAGATTTTTTTTTTTTTTATGAAAAAAGATCACACGGAGTTTTCCAACAAACAGAATGCCAAAAAAATTGTTTTAAACAAAACATAAACAAAACAAAACAAAAAGACAAAAACCTGGCTCTCCTTTCCTCTCGATTGTCTGAAATATCCTTGTGTTCCATAGAAGGCAGCGGGTTTTAAGTGCTTTCTATTTAACATTAGCATAAAATCTCTCTCGCGCGCTCTCTCTCTCGCTCTTTAAAATATGCTCACACAATTTGCTTCTAGAAGTACAGTACACTTTGAGCGTGGGGGGTGTGCCTGTTCCCAGATCATTTACAATCACAATCCAACAGGAAATAAAAAATAATATTCTAAACGTCAGACTGTGTTCATTTCTGCCGTTGTGGGTTTTTTTCTTTTTTTGTTTTTTATAATTTCATAATTTTTTTCACAGTTTTAAAAAGTTTATATTTATATATATATATTTATATTTATATTTATAATTAAAAAGTTGAATCCATTTAAAGACTTATAATACAGGAGGGCTAAAGAGTCTTTTGGTACATTAAAACTGTACAGGCTAGAACTGTCACTGTCCGCCGTGCCGAGGCGCCGGTGGCCCGGGGTGGAGATGAGCTCAGCACCATGTGGTTTGTTAAAAGGATGAGGGTTAACTCTGTGGGGCTGTCCCTCACCCCTGAGCCCCGGCCTCCAGTCTCTGGTACGCAGCCAGGGTGGAGAGTTTCCAATCTGTCCTTGGCTTAAGGAACCTGGGCCGAGCCGGGCCCCACTCCGCGTCCCGGCGATCCGTAGTGCGAGTCGGGAGTTGCAAAGATCAGTGCGTCTCTTGGAGTTTTGTTTTAAGTGCAAGGATGGTGCGTCGTTCTCCTCAGGTTCTCCTGCAGTGTTCCCTCGGCCAGGTGTAACCTGGAGCAGCAGCGGCGGTGCCGCGGGTCTGGCGTGTGCCCAAGGGGAGCTCAGCCCCGCTGTGTGGAGGGAGCTGAAGGTGCAGTCCCTGAGCCCGAGGTGGCAGCGGGGCTCTGGCAGTGCACAGCTGGGTGCTCACACTGCCCCCATTCCCTTCAAACGATGGGCAAGGCTTCCCAGCAGCTCCACGTCTCAGGCAGGCAAGGCATGGCGGTAAAGCTGGGCGAGGGATGCCAGAATCCACTGGCCTCTGATCTTCTCTCCTCCAAGCACCAAGCAGCAGTTTTTCCCCGTCGTTTCCTGCCCCTTCACTGCACGTTCCAAGATGAGGTCTCAGTTTGCCACGTGTCACCCCCCCTTGCCACCTGCTTGCTCCTTCCAGCACCTTTGCAGAGCAGAAGGGGTGCAGAGCTGCAGAGGGTTCAGACTGTTTGTTCAAGGCAGTGGGAAGGCAGCATCCCAGACTGGATGTTGGCTCCTCTTCCACCTGGCTCCTCCCAGGCCAGAGGATTCTCTTCTGCCATCTCTGTGCTGGGGCCAGCCCTGCCCTGTCGTGCTCCACACGCTGCCGGAGGAGCCTCCAGGGAACGGGAACGGCAAAAAGGCGCTGAGAGGATCGAGACGAGGCGCTGAGAGAGACTCATCTCCTTTCTCTTTCACCCTGTCCTTCCTATAAAGGTCATGCAAAACTAAGCAGGAAAGGGAATATAAGGACGGAGAGGAGCGCACGCAGAAGGCCAGAAGGTCCTTCCACGCGCGGGCGGCTTCCGAGTTACTGATGGGGGAAAATGACACAAAAGGGATCCCTCCTGCCGGGGGGTCCCGCTGGTGAAATGATCACAAGACCCATGTGCTTTCCTGGACCAAAAGGAGGAAGGGAGAAGTTGGTCAAGTGTCACCTTACTTAAAGCCACTTCCAGAAGAGCCTCGGGGTTCAAGCACCACCACCACCACCCCCAATGGCATCTTCCTCGAGTCCTGTAACTGCTTCCCCGACCCCTTTCTTCAGCCTTCTCCTTCCTCCTCGCGTCTCTCGCGCTCTCCTGTCTGTAGTGTGACACAGAAATGAGCATTGAAAGAAACAATCATGTCGTCTGAACAGGCACGTCCTCAGGTTTGTCCCATCCCTTCCCAGGGGGTGGCATGTGTCCCCTGGGCAGTCAGCAGATGACAGGGACCCCATCGGTGTTGAAGATCATGCCCGTGGTGGGCTCGTAGGTCCCTGCAAGGTAGTAGAGGTCCTCACTGTCTTGGTATTTCTTTGTCTTCAGCATCTGCTCATATTGATCCAGACCAACAACAAGACACTTGTGTGAGATGGTCTGGACATCATTTTCATCCACGTGAGAGGACTGGTAGAGGGCTCTCTGCACAACAGGAAGAGAAGGAAGGAAGTGGGGAAAAAAGGAGCCATTAGATCACGCAGCATTTGCAGCATCATCTTCAGTAAGTAGGAAAAACACTCATCATCATGGGCTAGAACTCTGCTCACACTCAAGAACATCTCACTCATCTCAACAGCCAGCCCAGGGGAGGGACACCAGGAATCTGCAGAGGTCCATGGCTGGACAATCCCTCCAGCCCACTGAACCTGAGCCCTGGCTTTCACTCAGCTCCCACTGATGGGAATGCTGCAGCTGCCCAGCACATGTACAGGAAAATATGGAGGCCAGGAGTTTGTCATCCTAATTTCAAGGATGCAAATGCACAGATGGGTGCTAGATACCAGCTCCCTGTTCTTCCCCACACCCAGCACCTGCAGCTACTCCCACCCTCCCAGAAATATCCATCCTAAGTCCTGGGCACTGCAGACTTTGCAGCCGAGGCAGGAAGCAAGAGCCAGAGAAGTTTGGAGGCCATTTCCCAGCAGTATTTACTTGTTACAGGGTACCCAGCATTCCCTCCCAGCCCTCCCTCAGTCTCACCAACCTCCATAAAGTCCTTCCTCTGGTTGGATGCCTGCAAAGCTGTGGCCAGACTCCTGCCCGATTTCTGATCCCAGCGCTGTACCCAAGAAGAAAAGAGGAAACACAAATGAAAACCTGGTGACTTTGTTTTTCCATGCCATCACCTCCTGCCCACCACATGTGCTTGTGGAACTTCAACCCCTGCCCACTGCCACTAAGAATAAATCCTGTTGTAAACCAGCTGCACACGTGCAAAATTAAGTGTTTCTGAGCACCAGACCCATCCTTCTTACACTTTAAAAGCTTGATCTGGCTCTTGACACTTTTTTTGGATGCGCGCAGAAGTCTTTATTTCCTAATACAAAGAAACCCACCCCTCCCTTCTTCAAGAGGCTAACACTGGGCTTGCCCACACCACAGGCAGCCCCCCACAAGATTAAAGAATGGGCCCACCCCCTCCAGGGTACCAGTAACAAACTGGGCCTTGGGTGTTTTCCTCATTGTTGGAAACAAAAGGGAACAAGGAGCTTTGCAGCCTTCTCAGCAAAGGAGACCAGCCTACCTTGCCTTCATTGAGTTTCTTCCCAGGGTTGGTTTCTTCTGGGTGATAAAACCATTTGACTCGGACCACCATGTTGTTCCCCCAGGATTCCCACATGCTCTGGATCCGGCCAATGTAGGGCAGGTTGGGGCGGCCAGCGGAGAGGAAAACGGCGCAGTCTCCGATGCGGATGATCTCCTTGCCCCGCACGATGGCTTTGTAGAACAGCTTCCTGGCCTTCCCTTTCATTCCTCGTCTCTGCCAAGAGAGGATCGTGCAGGTGGTCAGACAGGGATTACCCGTATTTTCCCTATACACCGCTGTTTGCCCTGTCCCACATGCATCCTTTTGCTGTTGGCAGAGCCACAGTATTCCCACAGGACTGGGACAGAGGGATACACCACACACAATGGCTTCCCCAGCACAGTGAAATCCAACCCCCATCTCCTCCTTGCACACTGGACACTTGGCACACCACGCCAGCAGTTCCACCACCCCAAGAAAAGGGAAGAGGCACCAGAAGGCAAAACCAGTGCCGAGCACTGTGGAGCATTTACCTGCGTGGGTTTCCCAAACCACTTCCAGAGCTGCCGTGCCGGGAGGAAAGCAGCGATCTTGGGCCTGTTCTCCACGGAGGGCAGGCGCTGGCGCTTGGCCAGCTCCTTGGTGGTGGGCAGGTGGATGCCCTCGCGCTTCTTGGGCCGGCTCTTGTTGCCGCTCTGCGGCGGTGCCGGCTGCTGCGCCGGCTGCTGCGCCGGCTGCTGCGCCGGCTGCTTCTGGCTCTGCGGGTGGGAGGACGCCCGGGATTTCCCTGCCTGCTTGGTTTGCTTGGGTGGGAGGGTTTGCTGCACCGAGGAACTCGGCTGGGCCTCAGCTACGTCGTCGTCAGAGCTGCAGGAGGAATCTTCATCCGTAGTGG